GTGGTAGTGTTGACAAGCAGAATGATTGGGTACAGTGCACTAGATGTAATGGGTTCCATTAGGATAGTGAGTGTCGTTGGAATACTGGGGCTTGCTTCTCCTGCGGGCAACAGGGGCACAGGATAACTGATTGCCCTAACTGGAAGGGGCGTAAGACTAAACAGAAAGCATAAACAAATAAAAGAGCTTTAACAGATACAATGTCTTCAGGAAATCAAAAGAAAAATTGAGGTCATAAGCCAAAGACTTAGGGCTGAGTGTACGTACTCACGCAACAAGATGTTCAAACTTCTAACATGGTGGTGTCAAGTACTGTTTTAGTGTCTTATGTTTATGCACATGTGTTATTTGATTCTGGCGCTACAAATTCATTTGTGTCTATGGGATTTGTTAAGAAACCTGGATGGAAATGTGTCTCTAGAGAGATCAACTTATGTGTTGAAACCCCGATAGGAGGTATTATGGTTGCTGACTTAATTTGCAAATCTCGTGTGGTTAACATAGATGGTAGGAAATTGCTTGTAGACTTGACTGTGTTAGATATGCGGGACTTTGATGTAATTCTTGGGATGGATTGGTTGGCAACCAATTAATCTTCTGTTGATTGCCGAGGCAAAAGGGTAGTATTTTAGATTCCTGATCAACCAGAATTTTGTTTTGTGGGTACGGGAGTTAACACTCATTCTCTGGTAGTCTCAGCTTTGCAAGCTAGATGGTTGTTAAGGAACGGTTGCGAGGGTTATTTAGCTTCTATGAAAGATACTCGTGAAACTAAATTGAAGTTAGAGGATATTCGAGTTGTGAAGGAATTTCCTAATGTTTTTCCTGAAGACTTACCAGGGTTACCACCAAATAGAGAGATTGAGTTTTCCATCGAGTTGATATCCAGCATGGGTCCTATCTCCAAGGCTCCATATCGAATGACCCCAGCAGAGTTGAAAGAGTTGAAGGAGCAATTACAAGAGTTACTAGATAAAAGCTTTATTAGGCCTAGTGTTTCTTCTTGGGGTGCACCCATTTTATTTGTAAAAAAGAATGATAGTAGTTTTCACCTTTGCATTAGTTATCAAAAGTTAAACAAGGTGACAATTCAAAATAAATATCCTTTGCTCAGAATAGATGACTTACTTGATCAATTGCAAGGAGCACAATTCTTTTCTAAGATTGATCTTCGTTTTGGCTATCATCAGTTGAGGGCTAAGACAAAGGATATACCTAGGACAACCTTCCGAACTAGGTATGGGCATTATGAATTTCTAGTAATGTCGTTTGGGTTGATCAATGTGCCTGCAACTTTCATAGATTTAATGAACAGAGTGTTTAAACCCGTCTTATATCAGTTTGTGATAGTTTTTATTGATGACATTCTTGTGTACTCAAAGAGTAAAGAGCAACATGAAGAGCATCTGAGAACAGTGTTGTAGATATTAAGGGAGAAGAAATTGTTCGCTAAATTAAAGAAAGGTGAATTTTGGATAGAGGGTGTATCATTTTTAGGACATGTGATATCTAAAGATGGGGTGTCTGTTGACCCCAAAAAAGTAGAGGTTGTGGTAGAGTGGTGTCACGACCCAAACCCGCCCCTATGGGTTTAGCACCTTAATCGGCCAGTAATCCGAGATTACCGAAGGCCTACTTAACAGTAGAACAGTAATACAGAGTACAGGGGCTGACAGAAGCCAAAACAGTAATTAAAAGATGTCCAATGAGCTGTGACAGTCTATATGCAAAAAGACTTTTTAAAACGTATTCACATGCAGAACAAAACAGTACTATACATACATATACAAACATTCGGGTTAGGGACCAAGTCCCTACCATAACAGTATAGTACAAGTCTATACAGTCTGTACAAAACAGATACAGAAATGGGGAATTCTAAAACACCCCGAAGCAGCCTTAGCTTGGCAGCACTTGGAACCTCAAGGTGAGGCACGATGGTTGGCTTGACAAAACAAGAGCTAATCCGACGCTCCTAACTCCGGTCTAGTGCCTGAACACCTACGTATATATATATATATATAAACAGTAAGCTAAAGTCCAGTGAATAACATATGCATAAAGAGGTTAAGAATGAATGTCCTTTCAGTATTGAAAACAGTCATTTATCAGTATATCATTCATTTAGTTTGTGGCTCATAATTCATGCCATAACAGTCATTCAGAAACTATAATAGTCATATGTGGTACATCCAATAGCAAAACAGTACAGTAGGTCTTAACAGACCGAGCAGTCAATGATGGTCATCATATTAGTAAACAATAGTGTTTCCAAATATGGGAACCGACAGAGATCTCTGTAACAGTAGCAGTAACAGTTCAGTAATAGTAAATTGTTATGGATGCCACGAATACAGTTCACAAATAGGACAAACATTCATTCAGTAAACAGTGTCATTTCATAAAGCAGTACAGTCATTTGTTTAGAAAATAATCTCAATTGAACGTATCTTTATAACATTGTTACTCACTGAGTACTGGGCTATAAGCAGCTAGAGCATCCTCGGATGCCAACCCTACACAGTTACAGAACGAACACACACTAAGCTACACAGTTGGGAAATAATAACTTAATCCCTAATTTGCCTCGGTGTGGTTCTACATCAATATCCTCATTAAGATGCCTTAAACTAGGCCTAGGAGTGCCTAGGATGGAATGAGGATGCAAAGATGCACTTTAAAACACTTTTCAAAAATTTTCAGAAAATAGGGGTCTCGCTCAAGCGTGTCTTTCTACGCTCGAGCGGACATGCAGACAAAGGATCTCCGCTCGAGCGTGACTTCCGTCGCTCGAGCGAACTGTAAGATACAGTAAAAGTACTAGATGCACAAAAATCGCGCTCGACGGGCGCTCGATCCACGCTCGAGCGTGAGACACAAGTCCTCGCTCGAGCGTGAACTCTCTCGCTCGAGCGAAATGTAAACACATGCAAAGTACTGGATACACGCATTTCACGTTTGAGCGCCACTTTCTGCGCTCGAGTGGACTTCATGTATTCAGAGTGTACGCTCAAGCGTGGGTCCAAAATCTAGAATTTCCAGATTTGAACCTCAGGCTCAAAACTCAACTTTAAAGCATCAAATTCGATCCTCTTGGGCTATTTGCTGGAAAACACTTGCAAACTCATAATATGACATGTTTCAAAGATCAATTTGAGAAATCAAAGCCCAAGGGTAGTTCAATAAAAACACAATTTCATCAAAACTTCAAGAACATAATGAACATGCAACATGCATGAATTTAATCAACTTCAAAGCTCCCAATGCATGATCAAATGAGTCAATTCTCTCCCAAACATGATGAATTCATGGACTATAACCCAAATATGGACATGCATGCAGTAATTTCCATGAAAACAACTCGATACTTCAAGAGACGCACATGCATGCATGATTCAAGCTTCAATTCAACAATCTTAAACCAATTTATGACCTTAGGCTCCTATTTACCATGAATCATGCAAGACAATACATAAATACATCAATGAGAGGTTGAATTCTCTACCTTAAACCTTGTATTTCAAGTGTAGAAGCTCAACTATGCAATTTGACTTCAAATCTCTTAATCTCCAAGCCAAAACAAGATGAAATCACTCTATCTCCTATCTCTCTCTCTCTAGCCGGCTAGCTCTAGATGGAAAAGGTTGAGATGGTGTTTGTAATGCAACAATTGAGTCCAAGTCAAAGTTGTAGGAAATGGCCACTTAATGGCAAAAGGGTAAATAAGCCAACTAATGTAATTTAACATTATTAAATCTAATTTAATCATACCAAATCACGTTTCAATTAAATATACCATAAAATCACATAAATGCTAATTAACATAAATCACTAATCAATTTCAGATTCGGCCGCCGATAAGGCCTTCAATTTGCAGTTTAAAACATAACATATGAACAGATCATTTAACAGTTAAACAGATAGACATGCATTTAAACTAATACACTCAATTAATTAGCTCAGAATTTCAATTAATTCAATTACTTATCATGATTCATCTCAGTTTAGCAGTAATCAGTGGTGTTATCAGTAAACGGAAGTGAAGGTTGTCATAAGTGGAATAGGCCTACCAGTGTCACTGAAATTCATAGTTTCTTAGGTTTAGCAGAATATTATAGAATGTTTGTTTAGGGATTTTCTCGAATTTCTGTGCCTTTGACTTGTTTAACACAAAAAAGGATTAAATTTGAGTGGTCTGATGATTGTGAGAAGAGTTTCCAAGATCTAAAGAGTCGATTGATGTTTGCTCCAGTACTTATAATTCTGTCCGGGGATGAAGGTTTTAACATCTATAGTGATGCATCAAAGATGGGCTTGGGTTGCGTCCTGATGTAGAATGATAAGGTAGTGGCATATAGCAGTTGAAACCATATGAGCAGAATTATCCCATGCATGATTTGGAGTTGGCTACAGTGGTGTTTGCATTGAAAATCTCGAGGCACTACTTTTATGGAGTAAAATGTAATATATTCACTGATCATAAATGTCTTTTCACTCAAAAAGAATTGAATATGAGGCAAAAGTGATGGTTGGAGCTATTAAAGGACTATGATTTGACTATCAATTATCATTTGGGAAAAGCCAATACAGTGGCAGATGCCTTAAGTAGAAAGACCTCGAGTAATTTGGCTACTTTCATCACTGACCAAAAGAATATCTTAAAGGACTTGAAAAGGTTGAATATCGAGATTAGATGGCACAATTATGGAGTGTAGTTGGCAAACCATAGAGTTCAACCCACATTGATTGATAGAATTAAAGATGCTCAAGGAAGAGATCCTTAGTTGCAAAAACTTAAGGCTGAAATAGAAATAGGGTTACAGATGGAATTTTACATACATGAAGATAGAACCTTCAGATTTGGAGGGAGGTTATGTGTGCCTAATGATTTAGAGCTCAAGAGAGAAATCCTGAGAGAAGCTCACAGTTCAAGGTATACTGTACATCCAGGGAACACTAAAATGTATAAAGATTTGAAGAGGAATTGTTGGTGAAATAATATGAAGAGAGAAATTGCTCAGTATGTTGCCCAATGTTTGATATGTCAACAAGTGAAAGTCGAACATCAGAGACCTGCAGATAATTTACAACCTCTTCCTATTCCCGCGTGGAAGTGGCAACATATTACCATGGATCTTGTGACAGGATTGACAAGGACCCAAGGTGGTAACAATGCTATTTGGGTTATCGTTGATCGATTGACCAAATCCGATCACCTTCTAGCTTTTAAAGTGGGTTTCTCCTTAGAAAGGTTTGCAAAATTGTATATCAAGGAGATTGTGAGGTTGCATGGCATTCCGGTGACCATAGTGTCTGATAGAGATAGTAGATTTGTATACAACTTTGGGTACTAGTTTGAATTTTAGCACTGTCTTTTGTCCTTAGACTGATGGACAGTCAGAGAGAACTATTCAGACCCTTAAAGACATGTTGAGGGCTTGTGTTATTGATCTTGGAGGTTTTTGGGATGAGCATTTGGCCTTAGTGGAATTCTCTTATAATAATAGTTATCATGTGAGCATTCAGATGGCACCATATGAGGCTTTATATGGACAAAAGTGTAGATCACCTATTTGTTGGGATGATGTGGGTGAAAGGAAGTTGTTAGGGCCTGAGATTGTGCAACAAACAGTGGACAAGATCAATCTTATTAGAGAGCGACTTTGCACAGCACAGAGTAAAGAGAAAAGTTATGTAGATAACAGGAGACGCGATTTAGTGTTTGGGGTTGCAGACCATGTGTTCCTTAATGTGTCTCCTATGAAAGGAGTAATGAGGTTTGGTGTTCGTGGTATATTGAGTCCTAGATTTGGTGGGCCATTTGAGGTTTTAGATCGAATTGGAGAGGTAGCTTACAGACTTGCGCTACCACCTTCTCTAGTTGGTGTTCATAATGTCTTTCATGTATCGATATTGAGGAAGTATGTACCGAATCCTAGTCATGTGATTGATCATGCACCATTGCAGTTTAAGGAGGATTTGACCTATGACGAACACCCTATACGAATTATTGATACGAAAGAAGAGACATCGGGTCATTCACTATGTTAAGGTTCAATCGGGCAATAACTCGGAAGAAAAGCTTCTTGGGAACTCGGGGATGAAATGAAACAGAAGTATTTGGAACTTTTTAAGACTCCAGGTATGTCAAATTTCAAGGACAAAATTTCTTTTAAGAGGGGGAGAATAACCCAAGTTATGTATAGAATTATTTTTGGATAGACTAATAATTAAAATAAATTGTATGGGTAATTTAATAATTTTAAGAATTAGGTTATTAACCCTTTAAAAAGGGGGGGGAGGGTTTCATGTTATGTTGTATCATAATTTTCAGAGGGTTCAAGTGAGGCTGGGATAGGAATTGAGGGCATCACATTGGGGATTGTAGCTTGCTTTTAATGCTTCTCGGAGGGGTTTAGTCTTCTCAGACATAATAACCCTACAGTTCAGACTTCCACGGTTCTGAATTTGATTTCACAAGTGCAATGTGAAATAGTGAAAACACAAAAGAGTCCAAATCCGACAAATCTTTGGAAAATCGATTTTTAATCAAAAATGTCAAAAATGAACTGCATTGCCAGATTTTAGAGTCGCCACCTAAATATTTTTGAAAAATTTAGGAGACCCATGACTCATGCAAAGACCACTTGTCCATCATCACCAAAGTGTCTCGGCTTAGGAGCTTTGGTATGAGAGAGGAAGGTCATAAATTGAGCACCTCACTCCCCCGATCAAAGATCTGCCTTTACTAATCATGATGTAATTTTTATGTATATTATATACTCTTGTACCGATTATTAGGATATCTTTATTATGTGATGCGGACAAGTATAGACTAATTCGCCCATTTTAGAATGTTTTGATTTCATGTTTGTTTTGAATATGTACCACTTGAAAAAGTACATTAATCAAATCATCCCAACTTAAATGAAAAAACCTTCATCCACCGGCATTTAAGAGGTATATCAAGCACTTAGCCTTATGGTAAACATACTTGATATGGCAACACCAACACATATGCAATATGCTAAAGCAAGAAATGCTCACCTAATACTCAATCGAGGCAAGCCAAAAGAAATGAAACTGTTAGAAAAATGCATGCTCTAATATGCAAATGACTAATGCCACACATATAAAATGCAACTACTAGGTTCGGTTTATTAACATGGCACATTGCTCAACTTAAAGCATGTAATTAGTGCACGTATTTGAGTAAGTAACAAATGACAATATGGTTTAGAATGATGAACCGAACCCAATGTATGAAAAAAATTGATACGAGGCATGGCAATGATATGAAAATATAAAACGTGATGCTACTATTATACGCATATAAATAAAAGGGAGAAAGAAATGAGGGTTGGAAGAAATACACAATATTACAATTTTGCCCTCGTGCAAGAAGGTCGGAATGAATGTCCTAATTTAACTAAATATTACAAATGCCAAATTAATTAACTAAGTTAACTAGTTATTACAAATTCAAAGGAATTTAACTAATTAATTACAATACACTAATTAATCTAAGAGCTACAAGCTAATGAATTCGAACAAGAGTCTAAGAACTACATGTGCAACCGATAACATCCTCCCAGAAACTCCTCTATTCTGTTGCCAGATTCTGTTCTGTTCGCAGTCAGAAAATTAATTTGTTTTTGTCCCAACTTCTGCTCTATTCTGTCATGAAAATGACACAGCCTGCCTAAAATGGAGTGGCTGACCGGCCTTGGAAAGTGGTCAGCTGAATGAAAGGGTGGTCGGCCACTATTTTTAGACTCTGCCCTATTGCAACAGAATAGAAACAGAGTGCAAACAGGGTGTTTCCAGGGGATGTTTGTCCTCTCTGCCTCTCCCTATCATGGAACTGATCAAGGTAGGAGTAGAATTGGTCCACAAACCATCAATCGTCACAAGGTTGTTGCATGATGATCTATGAACCAATAGGATAAAAAGATCCATGAAATGAAATGAAAGACCAACAACACCTCTTTCCTATCATGGACTCACCTCAAGAAAAGGGGTGGACATTGCTCCTTGAACCATTAACATCATTAAGAGTATGTAATGATTCAAGACTCAATGGGTTCAATTAACGTGCGATTAAACCCAACTTTATTTTATCATCTTGTTTTAACTCTTTTACCAATTTTATTAGCCTCCTTTAACATTACCTTTCCATTACTTAATTCATTTTGTCCGAAAGTGAGAGTTATGTCTACTAAATGAAAAGAACCATAGAGATTAAATCATTAAGCATGGAATGTCTCTTTCTCATGCCTTGAACAATAATCAATTGTTTAAAACAACTTTAAAATAAAATAAAAAAAAAAGAAATCCAAGAAAGGAGGGAGGTTGCAGAGATAATTATTACAAGTGTGAGTATATGTATGAAAACTATGAAATAAAAACTATCAACTCAAATATATTAGTGTGTAAAGCCTAAACCACCAAATCAATGAGGACTTACAACAATACAAGCATGATATTGAAAGCATAAACTAAATAAACACATCAAAACAGTCCCAAAACTCACAAAAATCAGTTTGAAAGGCTAGAAAAAGTAAGCAAAAGAAGAGGAAAACAAAGATAGTAAGCAAGCTTAAAAAGGAGTGGCTAACCCCTCCACTTTTTGGGCCTTAAATTCACATGTTTTAGCCTCTTAAAAATATGAAAATCAATAGCTAAAAGTTGGAAAACAAGTAAGAAACACAAGGATAAAAGCTTATGGAATAAGGTTCAAGAAAGGGTAGTTAACCCCTCCACATTTGGTAGCTTTAAATCACAAGTTTCAGCCAACCAAAAATAGTCCAAAACAAAATGTAAAATCAAGAAAAAAAGGAGACAAGAATAGGCAAAAGATGGCAAGAGTTATACTTTTGAATAAAAGACACTCTTTTCTTCACAAACCACAAGGTGCTCACTCTTAAAGGTTGAAATTTTAGCTCAATTATGGCGATCCCGATTTTTTCCCGTCATTGATTGTATTCCGAACTCGGGTTCCGTTGTTGCATGGTGTTGTTCATGTCTTGTTTCCTTCCTTGTACTCGTTGTATTTGAGTTTTGGGACTTGTTTGGTGAGTTTGGAACAGGGTGGTTATGAGTTGGAACAAGTGGTTGCTGTTCAGGTTTTGGCTTTTTCGCTCGAGTGAGGCTTTTTGCGCTCGAGCGAGCCTTCGGTATTTGCTTCGTCGCTCGAGAAAGAACCCTTGCGCTCAAGCATGCGTCTGCGTCTATGAAAGACCTGAAGGTTGGTATTCTTTGCTCGAGCTAGCTTTCTTGCGCTCGAGCGAGCCTTGTGTTATGTGTTCCTTCGCTCAACCGAGGATTATTGCGCTTGAGCGTGCATTTGCGTTGGCAGCAGACCTAAAGCTTCGCATTGTTCGCTCGAGCGACACTTCTTGCGCTCGAGCGAGGTATTTGTTGTGTCTGGTCGCTCGAGCGACAACTCCTCACGTATATCAGTTCGTAACAGCTCATTTTTTACTCAGATTTTTGTATCTTTTCACCCCAAAACCCTAGATCGGCAGCTCCTCTCTCTAAAACGCACACTCTCTCTCTCTCTACAAATACTCCATGTTTTAGAGGTTTTCTACCCTATTCCCTTTGTTAAAAAGCTAGAACATTGCGTGGGCTTTTTTTTTATCTGAAAAAGTTTAGATTTTGAGCACCTTGGGTTTCTCTCTTCTTCTACTTTGAGCTTCTCCATTTGAGATAGGGATAACCTACTCTTTAATATGAGTTTTGACCTAAATATTAGTCATTTTGTATAAATGGTGAGATTTGAAAAGTTCGAGTAAAGTTAGGGTTTGAGTTTGAAATTATAAAATAGGGGTTTTCTACTTTTGGGCTCCATATGTATGTGAGGTCTTGAAAATGGGGTTGTTTGTGTATAATGGATGAAATTTGGCCTTGGGTGCAATTTTTGAGAAAAGAGAAAAATGCCCTAAGTGGATTAAATAAATTATTTATATAAATAATGAAATCAATTGTGGAAATATGAAATTGGTTGGGGAATCATGAAATTGGAGGAAATTGTGATTAAATGGTGTAGTTAGATTTGGTTAAACACATACCTATGGAAAATTTGGCAAATTATCTATTTGATAGATTTGTTTATCTGTTTGAAATATCTGTTTTTGGCTATCGGTGGAGGATAGTAGAAACTGCATGAGGACTAGGTAAATTGGAATTAATCATGTGAACTATGTCATTGAATATGACGATTTGATTAAATCGTGGAACGTGTGAATTGGGGTAGACATTGCATATGGCATTCTTTTAAATACATTGTATATGCATCATGGTTTGGGAAGAGATAGGGGATGGACTCCATTTATAATTAAGTTGGCCAGAGTGTCCAGGGTGAAAGTCCCGAAACCTTGCATATATGGGTACCGGTTCGCTCGGATAAAAATTTTGTAAAATGGCAAATCATGAAATCTTGTGCATATATGGGTGCCGGTTCCCTCGAATGAAAATTCTGTAAAATGGCAAGAAAATAGAAGCGTATAATTGATGTTATGATTGAAGTGTTGATAATATGAGTTGTAGTCTCATTTGAATTGTTTGAATAAAAAAAATGAACCATGTCAATGAATTGATTCGGATAAATAAATGGAAATGAATTGAAATATGAATGTCAATGTTGATTGGTTACGGAAAGGGTGTAAGTTAGTTTACAAGCCTTGAACATTTATTGGATGCTAAGGTTTTAGTTAATTCTCATATAGTATTTAGCATATCTCTACTGGGCTTTGGCTCACCCTACTTGGGACACCATTTTTCAGGTATAGGAGACATGCCGCCTCCAAGATCTTAGCATGGGAGGTCTAGGGGTTGAAGACTTCCCTTTTATTATTTTGTTTTGATGTTAAATGTATATTCAAGCCTAGGAATTTCCATGTACAGAGTTAGGACTCTATTTTGTTGTAACCAAGTTATTACTTAGAAAGATGTAAGCCTGTAGGGCACTCATTTTGTTATTGAGTTAACATTACATGTAGTATCTTTTGTAAAGAAGACTCTGATGAATGAAAAGATAATATTTCTCA